TACACAATTGATGTGTGTATGGATTGTGATAAGAGTTGTATGAGCCCCTAATAAAATGATTTTTTTAAAAAAAGTTCATTCCATGGATAAAACACTGCATTAAAAACTTTAAGAAGGAAAGTTCTTAGTTTCAATAACATAACTAAGTTATTGAGAAAAGAGAAAGTGCAGGTTAGCATGGTGAAAGGAATTAGAACTAGAAGATATCAAGTGTTGAAGATATCAAGTGTTCAGCTTCATGAAGGTCAAGTCCAAGGTCATTTCAGGACTTTCCAGTAACAAGAATCTTGCAGTTGAGAATATGGGAGTAAGGTAGTTGTTTGTTCATAAACTGAATTTTATTATTACTTAAGCAAAATAAGCTGGGTAAAACTGTTTTTAAAATTAATTTACTGTCTTTTAAAACCAAGTATGGGACTATGGAAAATTGATCATTTTGGACAGCCAGTGTTTCCAATTAATTCCTTTTATGCAAATAACTTCCTATTTCTATATTCAAGGCACAATTACCTTGTACAAGTACAATAGCAATAAATAATTAAAGTCATCTCAACTTCAATTCTTGTAGACAGTTCAATTCACAAACAGGCTCTTCGCAAACTACTAAGGAGGGTCTGTTTTGTGAAGGCTTAAAACTTTGCACTTTCCTAATTTGTGTACAATAGGAATAAAGCATTCTTTTTTCCTGTGTCTGAATTAAGGAACACAGAAAGAACTACTGATAGATCTTTTACTGCTTTAATTCGATATATCTTACAATCGCTGTTGTTACACGGTGCCAGCGAGTCAGTTCTGACCCACGGTGACCCTTTGCTCAAGAGAATGAAATACTGCCCAGTCCTGCGCCACCCTCACAATTGTGCCTATGCCTCAGCCCGTTGCTAGAACTATGTAATGGGGTGTAAGTTTATAGGAAGAGTATCTCTTACCAGGCTGTGGTTGCTTTCTGCTTCTGGGTTTCTGATTGCCTTTTCCTACATTTACCCTTGATTTGGGTGGACATTTCTTCACTGATGGCTTGGCGTTTGGAACAATTTCTACTGGAGATATCTCTCGTTTCCTTGTCCTTTTAGAATTCGTTGCCACTGGCACAGCTTTTGAACCAGGAGCTTCTTGGTTTTTCCTATCCAATTTGGTTATCGGTACGAACTGTGCAGTCAGAACTTCAGCACCTGAAAAGACACCTTTTTTTTAGGGTGGAAGCTCAGGTATTTATCAGAATATTTTCCCTCCTATTTCTTTTTCTTTTTTTTTGCAGGGGGGTAAGGGGGAGAGATGTAATTTTAAGAATGGAGAATAAAATTAAAAGTTTTGAGTATTCTATTAAAAGATTTTTTTAAAAACAGAGAGTTAAAGATAACAAGTCTTCTATAAAATGATTTGGGCTTTCAAAATATTTATAGTTATAGAATTAAAGACTTGAGGATTACGGAAAAAAATTATTGCTACGTGTTTACTACTTTTAAATGGTTTTAATATGATATCTTATAATCTGTTTGAACTATATGTTGTTATTAGGTGCGATCCTAAGCTACCTGTTTGTATTACATAATAGAAAGATTCCACCTTTTAGATTTTTCAAAGTATGAATAAGAGCATGCTTTTGAAAACTTGTTTTCTCATTGATTTTTCATAAATTCAATTGTTCCCAGAGGAAAAAATTTAGCACCAAAAACAACATACTGAAAAATCACAATACGAATATTGGCAAGTATTTGAAAGCCACGTTATATACAAAGCACTATTTTTAATTGAAAATACTAAGCATGATGCTAAAGAATAAAAATTGTGGGGGAAAAAGAATAAAAATTGTGATGCTTACAAGAAATTCAGAAAAAAGAGATTCAATTCACTGAAAAAAATTGGCAGGGGGCGGGTGTTAGTCCTTTGGAGATTAGAGAAAGGAACACTTCCCATTAAAAACTGCCAGACTCTCTTATTGTTACACATTTCCCTGGGTCTAATTGTTTTTCTCCTTATTAAACCATTTCAGGTAGTAAAGCTGTCACAAACATATTTTATTCCTTAAGGAGTCTATTGCTTGTCTGATTTTTGCTTTTTAAAGAAATCATTTTACTGGGGGTTCTTACAACAATCCATACATCAATTGTATCAAGCACATTTGTACATATGTTGCCATCATCATTTTCAAAACATAAGAGCTACGATTTTTCCCTCCCTTCCCTCCCCTCCTCCCCTCTTCATATCTTACACCGTCCGCTGTCTCCCTTCACCCATGTTTCTGTTGTTCGTGTGTTCCCCCCTACCCCACCTGGGGGAGGGGAAGGGGACTTAGTCTGATTTTTTAAAGAATAAGACATCCTACACCATTCCAGTTACACTTTCTAAAAACTACATAGAGGGGAAGTAAAACATAAATTAAGCAGGAAAGCAGTTAAGATCAAATTGAAAGAGGAAGGAAACATGATTAGACAACCAAGAGGCCGAGGGGAAACGTGTAACATTTGCACAGGTAGGAAGGAAAGATCTCTCACAAAACCAAGCTTTAAGAATAGAAAAATGAAACACGTTGATCCTGCAAGGATTATTCTATCTGTGCATCACTCAACGCCATGTTTCTCAGACAACAGAAAGCAATCCACTAACACAATGGAAAATAAGCTTAACAGGTCCCAACCTATTAAGATTTTCTTTTTTTTTTTTTTCTTTTTTTTTTAACATTTTATTACGGGCTCACACAACTGTTATCCCAATCCATACACACATCAATTGTGTGAAACAAAAAGAATAGAAAACAATGAGATTGGATCACAGGTAGGTCAAATGATACACCTTACAATTCTTGTTTCAGTCATATATGAGCATGTACACATTGGGCTATAATATAAAACCTATTTCTTATAATAGATTGCAATAAATTTTGAGAAATAGTGGAAATATGTGTGCTGAATTATAGATAATTTAACACCTTGAAAAATTGATTTACATGAAACAAAACTCAGTATGGTTTAGCTGGAATATATTTATGTAACTGTATAATTTGATTCACTGCTTTACACTGTCATGGGTTCCTTTTTTTTTTTTACAAAATACAACCTGCCTCACCCACAGTCCTAAGAGTTCTCACATCATAAGAAGAGTAACTGCTTGTTAAACCACAGTGTAGGATCTTAATTATTTACAATCCTGAGAATCTACACATTTTAGATGTTTCTTCTTTAGCCATCAACATTTTTAATTCAAAATATTATAGTTAGAGATAGAATCTCTCTGAAACAGTAGTTGGCAAGCATTTTCTATCAAGAGTCAGACAGTAAAAATGTTCAGCTTTGGAGGTCCTATTGTCACAACTACCCAACTGCCAAAAGAGGCTGAAAGCAGCCAGACACACTGACGACAGGGTGCTGACCTCTTCTCACATATACTGCATATGGTTCCCTACTTTTTTAAACAAAAGACACTAAACATAATTTGAGATGACTCTGAGCCAAAATCATGTTGTTTGCTGTGCTGTGTTTGTTATACAATAAATGACTGTGTGGTTTGATTCTCATTCAGTTTCCATTTGTGAAATTTTCTCAATATACATATTTCCAGGCCAATGGATGCTGTAGGAGGTCTGTAGGAGGACCCGGGTGACTACAATGATCACTTTTTGCTACTGTTGGAATACCTACTTTAAAAAAGTCTTCTCATACTCTTAACTGTCAGGAGGTGGCTTAGCAACGAGATAAACAGTTTTCTTAAAAGGGTACTTAATAGTAAGAGAGTAAACAAATGAATACAAGTAAAACATAAGCATTGGAGGAGCTGTATAGTTTTTCTTCTTTGTTTTTATCAGTTATCCAGAGCCGTGTTTCTCTACCTTCAGCAAGCAGACAAATCACCTGGAAGTGTTGACAATTCTAAGAAGTTCCTACCTGATACTGCCAAGCCATGCTCCACACATCTGAGAGCACTGATCTGCACAGGTGGAGTGTTGTAAGAGTTAGTTATACTTGCAAATTCAGTAACTCACAGAAAGCCTGCTTACCACTGACCCATAGCCCTACAAGGGACAACACTGGATACACAGTGTGGGAATTAGGCTTGCTATGATTCCAGGACACCAAGGCAAAACACTAAGGATGTGCAACAGAACAGCAAGGGGAACAGAGCAAAGAAGTCCCCAGGAAATGCCAAAAATAGACTTTGGGGCCAGGGTGTGGCACCCCATCAGATTCAACCTGAAACACTCTTAAAGGCAAACAAACAGTCCCTGAATTAACTACAGGCTTTTCTTTTTTGTTGTTTCTTTTGTTGCTTGGTTTTGCTCTGTCTTGTTTTTGTGCATGTTATTATCTCC